ATCTACTCCTATTAATTTATATATTAATTATTCAACTGCTTTTGAGCAATTAATAGTATCAATAAACAAGTAGCGTGAGTTTTTATAGTGAGTTATTATAACTCACGCTGGGCTTCTACAATGATAATTCGGTATGTAAATAGTGTACGCAGTAAATTCTTGGAAATTTTTAAGCCGATAAATACGTTCCATTGGTGTAAAATGGAAAGAATTTTTAACAAGTGGAAAGGAATGAATAATTAAAAGATTTTAAAATTATTAAATTGCCAACGCCTCTCAGTAGGCGGAACTGTCAATTATTATCATTGAGGGGACTAATGTCATTTGATATTTTAACAAAATAATTTTGACGTTTTCAAATCAATTTCTAATAATAGTCCTAAAAAAGATGAATTTAGATAGCGAAGATGAGTTATTATGTACACCTCCAGAAATAAGAGAAGTAGCTAATAATGCAATACAGAATTTATTACCAGAAAAATCAAAAAACAAGTATAAAGGTGTATATAAAAATTTTCAAGATTGGTGTAGCAATAAAAACGTTAACTCGTTTACAGAAAATGTAGTCGTAGATAAAGTATAGTATTCAACTTGCGGTAATGGTAATAACTCACTTGATGAATTACAGCACTCGCCTGCGGCTCGTGCTGCAAACTTCATCTGCGTGAGTTATGACCTGCATTACCGCTCGTTAAGTAATATACTATTACATAAATGATTTACATTATTTTGCTTAAGATTAATTACTGCATTAAATAAAACAAGACGATGTTGCTTTCACTTTATTGGTTGTTTCAATGTCTCATAAATCCCCATACTGTTGCACAAAGGAGTGTAAATTAACAAATTTTCATAACAATAATAATATTATCTGTGGAGTGGAAATAGTGTGGTGTGCTTATCAGGCAACTCAATTGTCCTTTCTGCGCATGACATCACCTGAGACGTTATATTATACCTGTAGCTACAGTGTTGAAGTGACTAAAGCCTAGTAGTCCAGGAGAATTACAAATTGACATGGCTGTTGCTTGACGTAATTTGGATATTAGTAAAAATCGGTCGAAAATAATAGTCCACGGGTCCAGACCCTTTATTTTTTTTGAGTAATAACAAGTTGAATTTTGGGGAAAAGCTTCGTTTTGACGAGACGCCCAACTTTTCCCTCTACGAAAATTCTCGAAAACGTTAGCTAATAAAGCGCGGGGCGTCAAATATGTCGATTTGGTGAATGATCAATATTTATTACTAACAAGTAGTTTTTTATTTAAATCGCATGATAATTGTATGAAAAACTCGAAAAAACTGTTGTCCTACACGTTCGATGGTTTTTCCGAAGCGTCCCACTCTTAACTTGTCAAAATAATTTTATCTTAGAAGTTATTAATAACCACCTAAATTTTTCACAGATGCTTGGTAATTATTATTATAATTCAGTGAAATTTTTGTCCTACACGGAAAATGGAAGGTTTTCCCAGTCCTACACTGGGAAAGTGTCATTTTCACGGGTACAATTTTCTCATTAATAACAACCTAATTTTCGATTTTTTCTTTTGAGAACGATATTTGGAACAATATTTTTACCACTGTCCTACAAAAAAAGTGGAAGCTAGTGATAAAAACAAATAAAATTATACTGGAATTCGTAACTAAATAAATACAGGGTGGTCCGAATTTTATGCAGAAAACTTCGAGGGTAGATAGATCTCTTTAAAATAGTAGGTGTTTGCCTTATAAACATAGGTCTGGAACGGCCTCGTTTTAGAGATACAGGGTGTTAAAGTTGTTAAAAAAAAATTGATTTTTTGCTTATATCTCCGGAATCTATCAACCGTTTTCAATAAAATTTAGTACAGATAATGTATGATAGTAGCCCTTGTATTTCCTAAAATATGAGCTCTAAAGGTTCAACCAGTGGTGTACAACTGGACAGGGTAAACCCCTCTTTTATAAAAAAAAACTTACACCACTGTATTTTTTACACTCTATTGTAATAGATTTATATTCTATTGCACAATTGCACATTGAATTATTAGAGGATATACCATTACATATACGACAAAATACTGGATACAAATGGATGGTGCTCCTTGAGAAGAATAATACAGTGTCAACCATAATTGTGGACAAGGTCCAGTGTCTTGGCCAGCCAGATCGCCAGATCTAAACCCCCTGGATTTCTGTGTTTGGGGTTACCTATCTGAAAAGTAAAGATTACTCCAATAGATACTAGACTACAACTACTATAGCGAATAGAACGCAGGTGTAATGAATTAAAAGAAAACCATCACATGTTTTAGCTTCAATTAGTTCCATTAATAAAAGATGTCAGATATGTATGGATGTGGGTGGTTCACATTTTGAATAATTGCTGTAAATACGTAACGTTAATTTTGTTTCTTGTTTAGTTGTTGCTTGGTAAATGTATTTCTATTATTATTTTGATAAATTGTTCTTATTTGTAAAGATTAGGCCTCCAGGGGAAACTAAAACACACTAAATCATTTTTTTTAACAACTTCAATACCCTGTTTCTCTAAAACGAGGCCGTTCCAGACCTACGTTTAAAAGGCAAACTCTTATCTTTCTAAGAGATCTATTTTCATGATCATCGTATTATTAAACACACGCACGCACCCACGCACGCACGCGCACACACACACACGCACACACACACGCACACACACGCACACCCACGCACCCACGCACCCACACACGCACACGCGCGCGCGCACGCACGCACGCATCCACAGACGCATCCACCCACCCACGCACGCACCCACACACACACGCACACGCGCGCGCGCTCACACACGCACCCACACACACGCACACCCACGCACGCACGCACCCACGCACGCACGCACCCACGCACGCACGCACATACACACACACACACGACCACTTGAGACCTATCTACCTCGAAACCCAATTGTGACCTATCTAGATTATTAAACCGAATATTATCCGTTTCTCAATATCAAACAGGCCAGTATTCGTAGAATTTGAATACACACTTGTTTAAGGTATTTACACTCACTTTAAAAATGTTGGTTATTAAGTCACAATTTGTTTTGTGTGCATTCAGTCGCAATTTTACACAGACTATTATGCCATAATTTTAATATGTATGTCACAATTTGTTTTGTGTGCATTCAGTCGCAATTTTACACAGACTATTATGCCATAATTTTAATATGTATTAGGCCACAAT